CAGGGTGACTTTAGTGCAGAGGAAGACACACCACGCCATTTTTGGAATGAGACCGTGGTAAGAAACCCTTCCAAAAGGGCCTCACCACTGCAATAGCTACTTCTGCTACTTGTGATCACACCCACCATCCATTATATACTTTTTACAGGCATTTCTGACAGATGCAATGAGAATGTTTGTAAAAAATGTTGTAAATGGCCTGTAATGTTTGTGTGGCGATGGATCTTGGTTCTGTGCATTTCCCTGACCCGGACGTTTTGCGGCTTCATTGGAAAAACCTCCCTCCATATATATCGCGTTAAATTATGGGCAATTATTTTGGAGAGGCTTATGACTGCCACATCATCCATCCCCTGTTTGAGCCATGTACATGAAAAACGCCAAAGACTCTGCAAAAAAAGTATTGTGTGGGGGCATTAATTTTGTAGATACTTTTGGATTTTTTTTATAATTAATATACTGTTTATGAATGTTTTAATAATCTCAGTCCTGTTTATTTATCTTATTCGCTTTTATTTTATTTTATGAACCATCTGGGACACTTTAGGTCCTCAATAATTCTTAACTGGCCCCTAGGAGTCCAAACTACTCATGGTGAGGCCTGTAAGTTTATCTGATGATCTGAGGTCCCTGTTGTCATGGTGTGGTTTTTTATTTCTGTATTTGGTTTCATTTTGACATTAGTTCCTCTGGTTTCATTTCAGTTTTAACTTCATGTCCCTGTTCCCTGATGAATTGTCGCCCCGCCCTGATGTGTTCTTCTGTGTCTGTCTGTGTCTATATGTACCTGTGCTTCTCTCCCTTTGTTGCTGGTTCATTGTCTTGTCAAGTTCCGTCCTGTTCCTGGTTACTTTGGATTTTGGAGTTAGTGTTTTTTTTTGCCTTGGACTTAATTTTATTATATCTTATTAATGGGCATTCCTGCGTTTGAGTCCAACTCATCTCACCTCTGATACCACTGCAAGCTTTCAATTATATAAAAGTATTACACCAGGTCTTTTTATTAAGATTTTAGTTTAGGTTAGTTTTATCAAATATGTAATAATTTTACAGTGGTATCATGTTATTAATGTAGATTTAATTATTTATATAACACTACTAATGAGGTGCTTGTGAATGGGTGCAGCTCTGACCTGCCACCCCCCCATCCAGAAATGTATTATGGGGAAGAAAAGGGCATGGTATTTCTAAGGCAATTTTTGTGTCATTACTTTACATACATTCAAGCTTTTTAAAATTATTCCATATTTTTTTGGGGCGAAGGGGGTATTGTCTGTGTTTTTGATGGCTAGATTAATGAGGATCTTTAAGTCATAGCTCGATGAATTCCTTTTTTGTATCTCCTGAAGGAGTTAGCTTTGCCCCTCGTACTCCCAGACCGTTGTGTTTCAGCCAATCGACTCTGGTGGAGATGGCAGAACCACAAGAGTCCAAGTCGCAGTACCCTGCAAGAATTGGATGAGATCCTCACAAGTGCACAGTTGTGTCTCCTCTCCTTTACAAGGATATGCTAGTTTTAGAACCTGCGAAACCTTCGGGAATGATGAGGATGTCTGACGCTGTGGATGATGGTCTTGGTTCTTATAGAAGACTATCCGGAAAGCGGATAACTGGAACATCGACGTACTCAAGATCCTCCTGTACGAATCATCTGCCACACCAGCCCAGAGCCAATTATCTTGAATACTACTATGAAGCCTAGGCCAATCCATTTTGTGATTAGTTCCAAAATTCCTGCCGATCCATTTGGGCCTTAATTTACAGACATCTGGTAGTTATGTAAAGATTAGAGCGCGACCAGCCTTGGTCAATCCCCGGGAGGTTACAAACAGTTAGACCAGAAACATAGAACATGGCCTAACCAAAACTTTGTTCAGGCAATTGTAGAAACCTCAGTTGGGTTGAATATACCTTTTTAAATTTACTGTTTGCGTTTATTATTTTTTAGAATGACCTGTGTGCCCACACCATTGGTGCAAACTTTTCAATGAAGTGATTGAAGGAGCACCCCTTGATGTAGTTGGTGGAGGTGGAAACATGTTCTATTCGCCAAATTTCATGCCCAGCTGTTGAGCCCTCTGTCGGTCTGGATTAATCTTTCCTTGGTTGTCAGACGATGAACGCAAAAGCAGAACTGCAAAAGTAAAATAATTTAATAAATGCCAAAAAAAGTAAAAACTGAAACCGGAACAAGAGAAGGGGGGAAAAACAACAATTGGCCAGAAACAGAGGACATGAGCACAGGGTCTAAATACACACGGTGGCCACAGGTGTAGCACATCAGGGAGGGGCAAACAATCAACAAAGACAGACAGGAACAAGCAAAACTCACATCAAGGGAACAAAAAAAGAAATATCAAATTAAACCCGATACAATAACAGAACGTCCACACCCATGAAAATTTGGTAAGTGTCATTGAAAAAGCACTTCCACTGTCTTAACCACTTTTCGGCAATTTTTATTATTTGTGCAGTTGCCAAAGTTATTTGAAATTTGATTTTTCCAACGTTATATCACTTACCACTAATGCATATTCATTTTTTGTTCCCTATCCATTATGGGGTTCGATAAGGTACCAACACCACTGCTCTGTTAAAATGTATCAATGATGTATTTTCTTGATTTGACCAAACTATGTCTCTGGGGCGTCCATATTCCATGATCTTTCAAAGCCTTTGTTCTAGTAGATCACTCCCTTCTATGGACAGCTTAACGCAATAGGTCTTGATACCAACGCCATTTTCAATATGTGTGTTGTCACATTGTTCCTAGTCCAACAAATGCATAATTGATAAAGGGCTCCCCTTTGGTCCCCATCCTATTTCAATATTCATCAACGATCTTCCACAAGTCTATCAAAATAAAATATATACGCAGACCGACAGTCATTTCCACATCTACAGTAGGTCCATTCCTATTTTTTCTCGTTTCATTCACGCTTCTCGGGAATCACGCAGCTGCGTGAAAAATCGTACATCTTATCGCCACAAGGTGGGCAGGCTAAGTCCGCTTTAGCCCTCTGCAGCGTCTTAGACGCTCAGGTATATGACTTGGCGTGCAAAACTGTCTAGCCCAAAGGTTGCTCTGTTGGCCGCAATGGTTCGATTAAATACAGGGCATTGAGAACCCAGGTGCGTTCTTGTCTGATGCACATCTTTTGGTGCTTGTGGCAAAATTGTTTTTTCACTAAACTATTATTCTATAACATCTTGTCTTAATGTCTGAAAATCTAGGTGAAACTTCATAGTGTTATACGTTTAAAAATTGTGGATTGGTTTGATAAACGAACGTTACGTACATCCTCCGCTCTGGCCCCGGGAGCATGCTGCTGTGACCCCCGCTCTGAACCCCCCCAACTCTGTGGAATCGCACTTGCCGTCTGGGCTACGAGCGCGGCCATAGACACGGACTCACGTCTACTCTCGCTCTGCTCGCGTCTCTCACTCTCTGCTCGCGTCTCTCTCTATCTGCTCGGTCTCTCTCTCTCTGCTCGGTCTCTCTCTCTCTGCTCGAGACTCTCTCTCTGCTCGCTCCCTTCTCCTCTCCCTCCTTGCTCCGCGTCCTCTCTCTCTGCTCAAGTCTCTTTGTCTCTGATGTGTCTATCTCGCTTGCTCACGTCTCTCCTCTCTGCTCGTATCTCTCTCTCTCTGCTCGCATCTCGCTCTCTATGCTCACTCTCTCTCTGCTCACGTCTCTCTCTCTCTTCTCTGCTCACGCCTCTCTCTTCTGCTCGCCCTTTCCCCGGACTGGCTTGAAGCCAACACAAATGTTTTTTTCCAATTTAAATGTTCTCACAGATGACACCCCACGTCACTTCTTTTATATGCTTTAGAGTATTAGTCAAAAGTAGGAGAAATAAAAATTCATCGTACAATTCATTGTTCATTAACTTTTTTATGAATTTATATTAAAATTTGTCGGCCTTAATGTTTAGAATTTCCTGCAATAAATTGTTAATTTAATGTAGTAATCTTTATTTATATACCGCCTTTTCACTGCACATCTGAGTCTCAAAGCGGTTTACAATTGTTATTTTTAGGGCATTTGTCTCTCGCTCCACACAGAGATGGGAGTGGGGTCGCCAGTACAGGAGGCGCATGACAGAACTATTGTACATATTTTTAGTGGTAGGGGAAACCGGAGTACCCGGAGGAAACCTACGCAGACACGGGGAGAACATGCAAACTCCACTCAGAAAGGCCCTGGTCCGACCGGGATTCGAACCCAGGACCTTCTTGCTGAGAGGCGAGAGTGCTATCCACTCAGCCACCGTGCCGCATGTGTTGAATAAAAGTTTAAAGCAGGTGTTGTGTTTGAAGCAGATATGCATATCAGATGCAAAAAAATACATATCATTCGATAAAAGATTCGGTAATGTTTTCAGGATTCTTTCTTTTCGTCGTTTAAATTCCGACAGTTTTGAACTGTGTGCTTGTGTCCTGTTGTAAAGGATTGATTAAGATGACTCTGAGGTTTAGTATATTTAAAACTGATCAAATGAAGACTAATGTGATAATATCTCTTCCAATGAAATGTCAAATGGGATCCATAGTGACCTTTAGAGCACAAATTAGAAGCTGGGCCAAAGACATTCCAGCATGGTGAAATCCACTTTCATTATCAAACACACAACTCTAGGCCTATTTGGGACTTAGCAGGGCATAAATGCAACATATTAATCTGGGAAATGTGAAAGTATAGAGATGGGGACTTTAAATCTCCTGTACGGGAGGAACGACAGGGCCCTTCCTCTGGTTATCAAAGATGCGATGTGCTTTTATTACACTTATCTACAATGTAAAACAAAATTTCCATTGCAATAAATATAATGAACAAATTCGTCATGGAGTTAAAACATGGCTTGAACTGATCACTAAACATTTTACATTTTGATCAATGAAATAAAATACAATTGACTGAATAATCCACATTTATTGTTAATTAAACGCAGTTGAAATCTCTCTGGCTCATGTGGATTACCTGCAAAAGCAAGTGGAGGATGGATCAGCTCAATAAAACGTGGCTCTCCAAAAGCACTCTGGGTAAATCCTGTATTTGCGTCTTATCTTCACCCTTTTTCTAGTCTTTATCACTTCCCATCCTGTGGCCTGTGGTTTTACTGCAAGCTGGCGGTGGAGGGATTCGGGGTAGGTCAAACAGAGGCAGCCCCGGCCTGGAGCGGGACAGAACAGTAATAATTGGTCTGATGGTAGATTGGGGCATCTGGACTCTTATGGCGAGGCACATGGCTGCACCCGCCACACACCATTCATTACAAGTGAAACTGAAATGTGACCAAGAGCAGCCACTTGTTTGTGCTTCATGTTCAGACAATCTTAGAGTTCTGTTGGATCGTGCTGAGAGGAAGACCATGTTGAGCTGGAACCATGGTCACTCTAAATCAGTGTTTTTCAACCTTTTTTGAGCCAAGGCACACTTTTTTCACTGAAAAAATCTTGCGGCACACCTCCAGGAGAAAATGTAAAAATGTATACAGTACTAATGTAAAAATATATACTGTACATACTCTGTGTGATATATAAAGTATATCTTATCTTATCTGATAATGTATACAGTATACTCTGTAGCCTATATTCACAATATACAGTTATTCTCATCAAAATGCTTAAGTCCTGGCCTTGACATTAAGCTTTATTTAATATTTCTCGATACAATTAACAAGAGTTTGGGAATAAAGTGGCACTAACTGTGTGGAAAAAAACTAAGAAAATCCACTCTCTGCCCAAATAGTCAAATAATAACTCACACAAAGAACATGCATTGTTAGTGCATGGAAAAAATTTAGGATACCGAGCTTTAAATTCAGGAGTTTTGGATGAGGGACACGGGAGGTCCTGAACGCGAGTCCATGGTTCTGTCCGGTCCGCATGTCTGTGGTTCTGTCCACTCGACTATGGTCTGCGCTCGGTACCCAGTTCAGAAGTGCGTTCGCGAGAGCTGTTGTACAAAAATTGTACATTTCATAGTTAAACCACTACAACACGGCCACAGCTGCCCCGGGGCAGAGCGGAGGATGTTAATCCTGTTCAGAAACGGCATAATTCATTTTCAAAAACGTCTCTATCACTTTCACTTCTCACTCGCCACAAAGCTCTTGTCTCGCTCCCTCCCACATTTGTTGGTCGCATCCAATTTTACCTTTCTCGCCACAATGCTGACCTGTTACAGCCTGTGGTCGCATCCAATTTTTCAGTTTCACAGTACTTAGCTATCTGCTGCCATCTACTGATTTGAAAAAGTATTACATGGTTACTCCACAGTTCAAAACAAGTCACCGCTCGTCAACAGCGAATGCAGTTATTTTTAGACAAAGTAGACGAATTTCTCACGGCACACCAGATAATATCATACGGCACACTAGTGTGCCGCGGCACAGTGGTTGAAAAACACTGCTCTAAATAATGATTCAATTTGGAATTTCCCAGATGTGACCTATCAAACTAAGTACATGGCCAAAAAACATTTGGAAAATGAATACATCTATAGATAATAAATCATGTTTCCCTCCTATACCCAAGCAGCGTGTCCACATCTAATACCTTTATAAAAAGGTTTCAATAAAAGATTTTCTTGGATTACAGCCATTAGACATATGATGTTTTCTGCCCAGGATGATGTTGAATGCGTCCCTAACGGGATTAGGGTTATATTTCATCCCTAATTTCTTTCCTCCTTATGATTCAGGGCAAACCAAATCATGGGATTATTCATTTACTTTATTGTTTCTAAGATACCAGATGCAAATAGCATACACAATATGTATTCCTGTATTCACAGTGTGTCAGCGAAACACACCACTCACTGCAACAGGTGAAGAATGAGCTGAGATTGAGCAAAGCTTTCAGCCCTGTCATTAGAGTGTGTTGGGAACAATACGTTATACTTTTCATAAATCCTTGACTGTGCGCACAAACCCAAGAGTGGTGCACGAAGGTCAATGTACAATACTGCTGAGAAGGCAAAATAATCCAATTAGTTCATTTATTCAAGAAAACAAATTTTTCAGCCCAAAGAACTGATGAAAACAGACATGTCATTCATGTATTTTTAAATGTTAAACACTATGTTTAGTGTGAATTTCGGTGAAGACAAGGGTTTTTGTTTTTAAATTTAGATCAGTGTGCAGAGAGTTGGAGAGAGTTGGACTTGGATTCGACTCGGTCCTCAAGACAGACTTGACTCAGATTTGCAAGTCTTTATTGTGTTGATTTTCGGGAAAAAATTGATTGAGCCGCGTGCAATCTTTCTCTCTCCCTCATATGCATCCAAGTAAGGTCCGTGTGGGGATATCAACAGGTCAAACTGGCCATAGGAGCATGTTACGGAGAAGCACCAAACAGCCACAGGCTGACCACTGTATATTGGATTTGAAAACTATACAGCCCTGGCCAAAAGAGTGAGGCAGAGAATTGCTCCGGTGAAGAGAAAGTGGAGCCGCGCCTTGAGCGCGCAGCCGAAGCGCAGCCAGAACATGACCACTGCGCAACAGCTTCATGCAAGTGTGCGGCCAGTACACACAAAAATGCAGAGAATGTTTAGGAAATGCTGCTCCAAACGTTGATAATGAAAGCAGTTCTGTGCTCTCTGTCTCCTACTGCACAAACAAAGAACTAGTGATCAGTCTCATCTGAGGAACTTAAATAATATATTTTAGGGATATTTGAAGCCCACGTTTTTTTAATGAAAATACAAGATCATCTAAAACTCACTACAAGCTGGGGAACCATACTTTTTTTTATAGATAAAGTACATTTAATCCGGCCAAACAGCATCTCTCGAAGTGGAAAGAAAAATCATTGTGTTTGTCTGATTTGATTGAATGATATTCCAATACAAATAATCTGTTGGTGATATCTAAGTCATAATTTTAATGTTCTTGGATTTGCAAGTCCAGAGACACAACAGAAACTCTGCTCAGTGCAGTGTTCTTCTGTTGTCCTGGAGCATTGTGAATATACTTAGAATATAGTTTCCACTTAACAAATATGCAGAGCTGGAGGCTCCACACTATAGTGTAGGGGTGGGTGATATGGCCTAAAATTCATATTTCGGTATAATTTGGGTCACAGACGGTATATATTAATAATAATAATAATAATAATGCATCGGTTTTATATAGCGCTTTTCTGGACACTCAAAGACGCTTCACATGTGTCATTATTCATTCACTCCATACACGGTGGTGATAAACTACTGCTGTAGCCACAGCTGCCCTGGGGCACACTGACAGAAGCGAGGCAACCAGTATGCGCCATCGCATTAAGTGTCTTGCCAAGGACACAACGACAGTAGTCAGTGGGAGTCGATGGTGAAAGTCTTGAGCGGGGCTTGAACCCACGACCTTCTGGCTCAAAGGCCAAAGCTCTACCAACTGAGCTACTGCCGCCCATAATGTATATATTGCGGTATAATTTGGTGTGTGAATTTCAATATAGGTCTAGCAGGTTCTTGCATAAAATAGTCAAGATTGTTACTTATTTATCAATCCATCCATCCATTTTCTTCCCCTGAATTCATTTCTGGGTTGGGGGGGTGGGAATCAGAGCTGCACCCAGTACACAGAGCACCAGCCCCTCACTAACTCCTGCAGGTGGTGAGTCCACAGGAGCTGAGATCTTTCAGTGGGAGCTTCAGGCAAAGTGGGGTTAAGTGTCTTGCCCAAGGACACAACGACAGCAGTCATCAGTGGGAGTCATGAAGTAGGTCTTGTGGTGGGCTCAAACCCACAACCCTCAAGCTCAAAGGCCAATGCTCTACCATCTGAGCTACAGTACTGTCGCTCCTACTTTTACTGTTACTTATTTATATATTAGAATATTTTTTGAGTTGTGAGACAAATGAAGAGACAAATGCTGTAACATACATTATTTATGTATGTTACTATAAGACCATTTACTGTAAAAGCAATTGAAAAAAAAGAAAAACATGTATTCATTTAAAATATTAAAAAAAACTCACAAATGTTGAAATAAAAAACTGGAGCAGTTAGACATGGTCATTATTTATAGCGTCTGAGAGTTTTGTGCAGGTACATGGCTTCAGTAAAAGCTATTGTTTGTTTACAAAGCTGGTCTTGCCATTTGTTGACGCTCCCTAAGTGCTTTTCTCTGCGCTTGCAGTGAACTGGATGATTCAATGGATTTATGTTCATTAAAACAGCACATTGGATTTGAACAATTGATGTAAATGGTCATTTCGACACAATTAATTTTGTTTAACAAAGTAGCTTTCGTGAGCTATTGACCGCGGAGGTCCGAATCTGACGCTAACTTTCCCAAACTTCTGATGTGATGATGCTGCGGACACGGCTCACGCTGGCGCTTCGAGCCTACGCCCCTTTGACACTGATTGGCCAAAAGGTAGACGCTTTGTGATTACTGTGTGTGTATTTACCTCTGATGGGGCGCTGTGACAACAATACAGAGACAGAAACACGGTGTTAATGCCGTGCTGTTGTTCGCTGTTTCCAGTGGTGTCTGTTATAGGCTAATGCTGTTAGGCTCATGCGCTAGGCTACAGTAGGTCCCATTCCGTTTTGTCGCCTTTCACGCGTGAATCACACGAGACTCACGTGTGATTCACGCGTCTTTTATTTTCCCCCCTCCCAGTGACGTTGTAATGACCAAAACAACCACCAGGTGGCACTTGTGAGCAGGGTTACATTGGCGAGTTTCTGCCCCGCACACAATGACAATCTGGTTAAAACGGGCAACTCCTTGTAGCAGGCCAGTCTCTGGAATAACCCGCAGACATTAAAACTACTGCATACACTGATAAAAATAAATTTTAGGTGTACTAAATGTTATCATATAAAACTATATAATTCCTACATTGTTTATATAAGAAACTGTGTTTACTTACTTTTGCTAATTAAAATTGTGCACCAAAACGTGATTTAATCATTTAAAAAAGGGGTATTATATAGACACTGTAACAGTTACTTCAATTATAGAATTAGTCCATGTTCTATCAATGTGAAAACGCGAGTGAAATGTATTCAAAAAATTAAAGCTCTTGTTTGAATTAGCACATGCGCAGTGTGACCAAGACGAACGCGCGATCACACGGCTGTCGCTCTCTCCCAGCCGATCCATGCTCCCAGCAGACTCGAACGAACACGAAGTGGAACGTGAAGTTTAATGTAAGTAACTTTTCAATTGTTTTTCATGTGACAGTATATTCATTATTGTCTTTGGGTTGTGTTGCATTGTACACATGTCGTCATTGCGTCACATCAGCGTCGGCTAACATTATATTTTTAGATGCTAGGTATTTTTTCTCCTGCGTCAAAATGGAACTGAGAGATATTCAACTTTTCGTCACATGAAACAAGGCATAGCCTATGCTATGTTATCTAACGCTGGTTTAAAACTCAATTGAATATTAGTTTAGCGTTAATCGGACTAATTTCCATCCGCGGGAAATAAGGCACATGGTGTTTGCTAGCTTAGTTAAACAAGTTAACCATTTGAAAAGAACTAAATAATTTATTTTCTCATTTTCCTTGGAAGTAACACAAGGCTACGCAATGTAAGCAAATAAGTATAATACAGCTCGGAAACTTGTGTTGAAACAATCGCGTCAAATACTACAGTTCCCATCATGCTTTTGCTTTGTCACGTGTCCTCCTCAAACAACAACAAGCACAGGCATGCCTGTGCTTTATTTAGCAAAGAGTTTGGTCTCGTTTCTCAAACGTAAATCTGGGCTGTGTACAGAGGACTGCGTGCTTCGGTATGTACAAACGACGCTGCGCGTGATTTGATTCATAGCGTAGTTAATGTTGTAGCGTAGCTTCTTCTGAGGCCAGTTTTCATTACTTTCATGACTGTCTTTCTTATATCGCTATGCACTCCACTAAACATGGCTGATACTTAGTTATTATTGCTTAACAAGTAGATACGTCTTTCCGTTTTTTTCGTTTGGAGACTGAAAATATATCCCAAAGCATTTATGTTCCCCCCGTGCAACTAAAATTATATGAATTATTTGTGAATTTAGACAATTAAATAATAATTATGTGAACATTGTTAAATTAATCACAAGTAATGTAATGTTACAGTATATTTGACAATTTATAAATATTACATTATTTATATATTATACTGTAATTTTAAAGTATATTTTACAATTTTCTTTCAGATTCAGGAGAGAAGTGCTGATATTGACACCAGATCTTATACCCACCACTTCTACTTTGGTAGCTTCAATCAGGTAAAAATGTAACTATACATTTGATTTATAGTTTACTAACTGTATACAACAATGAATCCATATTTTTGTCTTGCAGGGGACCAATAATCAAGACTCAAAGAAGGAGAAAGATTAGAGACAGTAGGCTTTTTAGATGAGATGGCAATGCAAAGTTTGCATTGCCATCTCATCTCAAAAGAGATGGCAATGCAAAGTTGGAGAATCACCACCATTCCTCTTGAGCAGACCTTCATGTTCAATCTGGACAAATACACTCCAAATTTACTTTCTGTGTTTGCGAAGAAGGGTGGTGCTATCGGGGCAAAACTGAAACCTGTTTTGAACAAACAGATACAGGTATGTTTAGTCATAACTTATGCTGAGTACAATACATAATTTGTTCTTTCCCATGGATAAATCCCTGTTTTGGTGCTATTTACAGAACCAAACAATTGAGATGAGACGTGACAATGTGATTCGTGGTTTAATGCTCTACCTCGGTGAAAATGAGGAAGAACTCTTGCTAGATTGCCAGGTACCATTCTTGATATTTTTCTCCCCCATTCTCTCAAAAACTCAGGGTCGTCCTATTCCTCACATATTTAACCTGTTTTGTAAGAGTGAGTGTCAACACTTCAAATACACCAAACGAAATACAGTGGTAATTTAAAGCTCTCACTGTCAGAGTTTGGGAACTCACTGCTCTTTCTTTTATAAACTTGTTTTGATTGTTTTTTTATATTGTGCCACGATGATGAACTCCAATGTAATGTAACACAGCATGTTGACCCATGACAAAAACACACGTCCGTGTTTTGGAATCACCTTATGGCTGTGTCTATGATTATGACCTGTCTTGTGATTATTGATCAATCAAGTATAATGTTTGAAGAGAACAAAGGTAGTCTGAGGCACTCTGTTTTGGTGAAAAAATTAAAAGTCCTTTAATGAATTGGACTGCCTACGCGTTTCGACCAACAGCGGTCTTTGTCAGGGCATAAATTAGATAAATAAAAAGATTTATGGCTATAGAAGTGAGCTATAGCTATAGCTATGTAAGCTATAGAGTGTATTTATCAAAGTAATTCTTCCTCTTTACAATTTAAGGCAAGGCAAGGCAAGGCAAGGCAAGTTTATTTATATAGCACAATTCATACACAAGGCAATTCAAAGTGCTGAACAAAAAAATTTACCCAGGCGCACTTAGAGGATGTTGGCCGGCACAAAATGAAGATCCTGGTCGTTTGTTCTTCCTCTGATGAAGAACCTGTGGATGTCTCTATTGTTCTCGACGGCAAGGAGATTGTGACTGGATGTGGAAATACTGCAAAGGCATGTGCACTGCTAATGGGTCTAATATATTCCTTCAATCTTGCTTATCCTACAACACTACGATACACCTTTGAAGTATTTCAGAAGATTTTCTTACATTTAGATGCATTTAAGCCATCCCCGAAAATACAAACACTGAAAGTCAAGCTACTGTCCAAAACATAAGAGAAGCAATTTTGTTCAGCATAAGAGAAAAGGCCACAGATTTTATATAATTTGATGTTGTTACTTTAGCTTAGACTCTAGCTTAGACTAGAATATGAAAATTAGTCATTAAAACATGGACATGTTAAATTAATTGACTATTCTTGAATCTAGTAACTCCTCATGTAACAGTGTTTTAATTAGGGAAAATGTGAAAGAGCTCGGCCACTTCTAAAATTACCTCGGTCTGGAGCCATTGAGATTTAGCTGAACAGAGGCTCAAAGACCAGGCAGGTGCATCATCTCATCTAAGCTAATGACATTTAATTATAGAAAATCAATGGCCTATCTCTATACCATTCCCATTGCATCCTTTTTGTGATAATTAAGTTTTCTGTTGTCATGTGTTCTGCTTTTAAGGTCAGCTTTAGTTCATCTTTTAGTTTTCATTGTTGATGTGTGAACTTAAAAGTTTGTCAATAAAACAGGTTGTTAAATGTTGATATTTGCATATTGTTTTTTCTTATTAATTCAATAATAATGTAATTGTTACACACATATAGTACTTAATAAGTATTATTGCAATGATATGAAATATACTGATAAAATATAAATAACATTTATTCAAGTTATCCATTATTGTAAATGATCTGTACACATAATGGTTACTCTGATCTGTACACATAATGGTTACTCAGTATATCTATTTCACACATAATAACATTCAGATTATACTTGATGAAATAAAAAGAGTTTTACTTGATTTATAGTAGTAATCTTTAATTATATCTTCGTGCAAATACTTACGAGGATTTTTTTAAGTAAATGTTAATCACGATTTTTTTCAGTGTATAACGTAAACTTTTGCATCACGTTGGTGATCTTTCCAAAAAGAGAGAATATTGTTATGGAAAGAGAAACTATTGGTATTATAACGCTGAACGTTATTTGACTCAAACAGCTCCGCTGGTGTCTCCTCCCACTCAGAAAAAAAGCAGACGCCTTTTCTCTGGCATCTCTAACATTTATAATAAATACATAAATATAATTAAAAGTAGCTTGCTATATAGAAGCTATTTTCAATTAAACAAACTGCAGTTCATGCAATTTTATATTTTCCTGCATTAACATGTTTGCTCATTTCTTATTTTTTGCACAATTCTTGAGTGTTTTATCCATGCCAAATGTGACATGTACATTTCTCCTGTGTGAGATTAATAAAGCTTATCTTATTATTTGAGATAAACTGTCAGTCAGATAAAGGTTAACATTTTGTAGATATTTATTGAACAATAGCCCAAAACACCAAAAACAACAAAGAGTAGGCATCTGAAAACATATTTCTTTTCGCTCATCTCGACTAGAGTGACGTACTTTTGGAGGTATGGCCACGGTACAACACTTTGAGAGTCCTTATCATGGTCCTCCTCCACCGCGGCGGCTCCTGGGCTCTCTGCCGTTGCTTTTGCTTCCCCCAGTAGCGCGCGCGCATGTGTGTGCGTGTGTGTGTGCGCGTACGTTTGTGTGTGTGTGTTGTTACCAAGCCCTGCGCATGCGCATCAGCATTCTGTCTTTCTATATGTTTGTTTTATGCTGCGGGAAAATGCTGTAATATATGAACATCAGAGATGTCCGTGAGAAAATAGCTTTGGCGGACGCTACCGCGCTACTTGAGCAATAATATAGCTTAGCTACAGAAAAGTTACTAGGTTTTGTAAATAGTGACGCTACTGTCAAGCTACTGAAAAATGTAGTTAAGCTAGTAGCGACGCTACTGCCCATCACTGGTGTTTCGCTGCATTCCTATGCAAAGTAGGGACATTAGCATGAAAAAGAGCGTGATTTCCTGCCGTTTAGGGTGACGAAAATCTAACTTTTCATGCAGTGCCATATACTGTAGTCGCTGCAGGAGCAATTGTCCATTATTTTAATTGGACTTCTGGTCCATGCACACTGTAAAAAAGAAAAAGTTAGTTCAACTCAAAATTTCAAAGCAACCAGCCGCGAAGGATTTTTGAGTTGAAGGCATTAACTTAATTCTTCAAGTTTTGAAGAACTACACTTATTAAGTTGTGTCAGTTAAGTTTTCCAAGTTCTGCCAACTAAGTGTTTAAATTCAAGTTACTGGAAATTTCAAGTCTGTAAAAACTTTTTAAAGTTCAGATTACTGTCCCCTACAATAATTTGGCTTGGCCCTGTCGATTACGGTTGGTAAAAATAAATATTGTCATTTGCTTCTGTCCTGTTAGTCAAAATAAAACATATCACGACTGAATAGTTTCTCCCTGTAAAACTAAAGCTCATTTCATGGCTTTGGTCATCACATACAAAACTGTTGAACTCGTTCAAAACCAAAATCTGTCAATCTGATTTCATACAATACTTTATCTTTTTACATCCTGAACATTTTTCCTAACACGACAAGGTGTGTTTTTTTATTGTTTACATTTGTCACAGTTCTACCATAATGATTGTGAGATTTCATAACACTTTTAAGCAACTTTTGTTAAAGTTAAACTCATCATTCTATCAATGTGCAGAAGCCTGTACTTTTCCCTTGTTTTGTCTATCTGAAGGCCAAGCTACATGGCACTGTGGCAGCTGCTGATTGGAGGTCTCCATGCCTCCGCTCTGTATAATACACTTGTATTCTGTTGTTCGTGTTGTTCGTGCTGTCTCTACCATCGACAATAAAACATGTCTTCTGTCAGAATTAAAGACGCGATCCCAGACTTTGTCATCTTCTTCAGGTGGTGGAGAATGCGGGCATTGTCTGTAACATCTAGAGAACAGAAGACTTTTTTTTTTACACAAAAATGTGTTTTTTTTTTTTCAAGCCAAAACTGAGAAACCTCAAGAGAATGCATCTGGATCAGCACACTTGGACAATCTGCACAGCCCCTGATTCCACTCAGGCCTGCTGTGAGCTGAGTTTTTGGGAGCCACGAACTGAAAGTAAGAAAAGGAGAGTGAGTGAGAGAAACTATTTGTCAAACTATAAATGCAAACACTAGTGGCCAATCGGAGCGATTATTGTTTCCACCGTGTAGTGTCTGCTATTATAACTTCTACATATACAGCATGTATCTACAAAATGTGTTGGGAACATTTGGGTCAAAATGGTAGAAGCAGCTGACTAATGATCCGTTTCTCAGTCATGAGGCTGAGAGAGAGAACACAAGTAGTACTTAATCCTAGGCCTGTCACAATAGTAAATTTTGCTGGACGATTAATTGTCTCAGAATTTACTGCGATAAGCGATAATATTGTCGTTATGAGATCATTTTCAACTAATACAATGATAATGATGCCGACACCTTTTCAATAAATAAACTTTTATTTTTAAAGACCACCACCGGAAGTGGCGGAAGTAGCAGGAGGGTTTTGATGCTAACAGAGCTAACAGGCTCTAGCTAAGCTAGCGGGGTTTTTGTATAAAGTTTTTTGCTAAGAATGCTGCTCTGCAGTGTATCTTTGTCCAGAGACCATCCAGAAACTTTAATGAGAACTTAAGGGATGACATAAGTTCACAACTACTGTGTCCCCCATTGTCAATCCTGGTTAAGTCCTGGTTTAGGTCCTGTTTTGGCTGTATTTTGTATTTTTGAGTAATTTCAGTCTGCTAAACCGCTAATGTTCCCATGACCACTTTGAGGCTCTCTGACCTGAGAGAGAGGGAGAGAACGAGACGGGAAAAACAAGCATGCAAATGGAATTTATTGCGGCCAGAAAAAATATTGAGCCAATTTTTATTATTGTGCGATTAATTGATTTATTGAATAACGCGACAGGCCTACTTAATCCATCTCCTGAGTCCACTTACAAGAGGGTGGAATAGAATAAGGAGACAACTGTCGCTTCATAAAAGCCACACACACCAAACTACGACCCTCTAAACCAGCAATAAGTTTCCACAAATACACATTGAATATACCTTTGAATGAAGAGCGGGGCCTTCTTCTGGTTCAGCGTTTTTTGGA